CATCTTTTTAATTGTGCTTATCTTCAGTTTAAGTTAACACTTAAGGATCCGGCATGCTGAGGGGAGGGTGGGTGGAGAGCTTAGAGGTGCCGGAGGATCTGACGGTCAGCCTTGCCTGGGCCTTTGTCCTTCAATCCCCTCATGTTGATTTTTTTTTTCTTCTCAAAAGCAAAACTTCACCATCACCCCCTCCCTTCCCCCCAAGGAAAGCCAACCTCTCCTGAAAAGAATTGAATTTTGGTCATTTACACTTTAGTGTAAAAGTGCTTAATAATAATGGACACCTGCATTTACATTTTACAGTTTACATAGTACTTTTAAATATGTTATCTAATTTAAGTCTCAAAACAGACTTGAGATTATTAGGAGCCCTGCTCACAGAGGAGTTCTATTCTCAGAAGGTGTCCATGGTTTTCTTGCACAGGGTCTGGCAGAACTTTTACAGGAGACATGGGCACCTATGTTGTAAATTAACCCATAATTAATTTACTTTACATAATTGTTAAACATACACTTTTGGGTCAATAATGGCAGCTCTAGACACAGCTTGGCTACCAGGTTATAGTAAAAGAGGGTCTTAGACCAAGATCTGCTGCTCATGCAGACATGTATTAAATGCACATTTGTAAAAGTAGGTATAAAACCATTGTCTGTAACCTCGAAAGAGTCTCAGCTCTGGTAGATTCTAGATGCTCCAACCCCACGTAGCATGAAGATAGATTCTATTACTCCATAGTGAGTGTTGAACAACCACCATCCTCTGAACCAAAGGCTGGGCACAGGGCTGCTTAGTTCTTGGACTTCAAGCGCAGTCCCTAAGGGTGTACAAGCCAAAGTGCTCACTCAGTTGATATACCCTACTCATGGAAAGGTGGAAAATATCTCTAATCGACAAATTTGAACACCACCAGTTTCACCAGTTTCTAACATTTTATTATGCTAACTGACAAGCCATTAATTTCACAGATGAAAATTCATTTCTCACCTTAATTGTACCACTTAGCAAGCCCCCAGGGGTCCTGTGGGAGTTAAAGAGAGCTCAAGCACTGGTGGAAGGAAGCCTCTGCCTATGGACATGGAGTTTCCGATTAGATCCTGGTTGACCACTCTTGGAGCGCATATTCCAGATGAGGAAGGCTGTCTACTCCCGGAATAGAATTTAAACTAATTTCAGACACACACAGCTGCATGGCATTGTCTCTGCCCACGTATTTTAAAGCAAATGGTAGAGTAGACATCCTGATGAGCTGGCAGCTATTCTGGGAAGACAGGTATGATGTGCCATGCTCTTAGGGCTCCACCTGCAGTGTTAGCAGGGGCAAGCCCATGATTTCCCATGGGCCCCTTAGCACCTAGGTTTTCTCTGACCTTTGAGAGTCTAGTTTAGAGGTTATTTCATATCTTCTTGTTTTCTGTGAGGGTTTTTTGCGTTGAGGCATAGTTTATTCCAGAAAGGATTTTCCATGCCATTTATTGAGCATGTATTTTATCTCAATCTGGAATCAGGTTCACATTATCTGAAGCATGGAGAAAATTTTGGTCTTTCTGATCTTCAAAGGGAGCAATAAGCATTTGTTGGTTTAAACAAGGCATCATTTGATGATGTCAAGTCCAGCCTCCTGCCAGATTCAGACCATGGGATTTGCAGCCCATTTTCATTTACCTGGTGTCGTCGCTGATGGCTTTGATCACACCAGGCTATCTTGCACGAAGGTGAATTCTTCCTGCTGAGAAGGGAACTCAGGAATTTGCTCTTTTGTTAAGCTCGGGACCTCTGATGCATGATTGTGAATCAGTAATGAAGAGTTTATAAGGGTTTAGGACTTGGAGCTGCTGCTCCCTGAAGTAGATAGAATTGTCTGGAAGGATTTTTCTGAATTTATGGAAAGAAGGGGAGGGGCAGGGCGCATATAGCTAACAGAAAGGAGAGCCTCTATCCTGTTTACACCCTCCAGTGTCTAAATATATATATTTTAAATGTGTTGGGAAAGAATCATCTCACATTACACTGGGACTGCAGACTTTGGCTTTTAACCAGTAGTTAGCATTTTTAAAATCTCAGTTGGACACACCACAGAGGACATAACTAATAGACTCATGATTTCTGACAGAAAGCTGAAGATAGTTTTTTGACACTGCACAAATGTACTGTCAAATGCTATTCTCAGACTTGAAATTTTGCATTGGGGCAGTTGTTGCTAGTTCAGAAAGTGTGCCTTGGAAAGAACTGATGTAATTTTTAAATTCTAACAAAGAAAGCTGTCAGGGCATCTTTTCATCTCCATCGACCACTAAACTGTGAAGCATCCAGGACAAAGAGCCTTGCTGACGTGAGAAGCCAAAAAGTGCTCTTGGGAAATGCAGTGGACGAAGGCTCAGTCACTCCTGTCTACAGAAGATCAGTATAGGCAAGGTTTTTACTTCACCCGACTAGACTAAGTAAACCCCAAAACAGACTTATGGCTTCCTAAGAAGTGTGGGAAATTTAATTATGTTGAGAAAAAAGTGTTGTCTCCTGGAGTTTATTGTTGCTGCTGGTCGTATTATGACCCTGCAGAATAAGCCTCCTGCATGTTTTATGAGCGAATTAATGACTAAGTGACCTATAGGATTAATTACTTGCCTTTTAGTTCCCTTTAATGTTAGACTGCCCTCTTCCCTCTCATGTCAACTATTCAAAAGTGTTTTATGTTTCTGTAGAGCAATACTTTTTAACCACATTTCAGTCCCAGCAGCTCTACTATTTTTCTACAGCCCTCCACCCCCAAAGGGTTAGGAGGAGACTTCCACTGATCCCCATGAAGAATATTATTAGTAAACCATTGACTGAACAAAGCTGGGGGTGGGATGGTCCAGTATTATCTGATTTCTCCTTAGCAGTTCTTTACTTCTCTTCGTGTTGATCTCTTTATTACAGTAACAGCTTTCCATGGGGTTGGCTAAATTTTTTTTTTGAACATATCTTTATTGATTTCAGAGAGAGGAAGGGAGAGGGAGAGAGAGAGTTGAAACATCAATAATGAGAGAGTCGTTGATCAGCTGCCTCCTGCCCTCCCCCGACTGGGAATGGAGCCCACAACCCGGGCATGTGCCCTGACTGGGAATCGAACCAGGATCTCCTGGATCCTAGGTCGATGCTCAACCACTGAGCCATGCCCTGCTGGGCGGGGTGGGCTAATTTTGACCTAGGTTTGCTTGAAATTGAATGGCAGCCAATACATTCAGGCCTTCAAATCTTATCTAATTCTTAATGACGTAGAAGTAGCTCGTAATTGCCTTACCCAAAGGCAGTTTAGTTAATATTTTTAGAGGGACAATGAAACTTCTTTGATGTGTCTCTTTAGTTCATTATAAGGATAAAAGATCACGAGTTGATGATGGTAAAAAGTGAAATAAAAATAAAGTTATTATGGTATTAAGTACCAGGCTTTGACAAAGATCAGACCTAGACTAGATCATTCAAGACCATCATCTTTTGCCTGTTACTAAAGAAGGAATATATATTACTTGATTGACATAAGTCTAGAGGGGAATGTGGAAAAGGAGGAGTGACGGAAATCCTCAGTTCATGGATAACCTTTCAGTCCAGGGATAACCTTCTAGTCAGTTCATGGATAACCATGAGAGTTTCCCAACATTCTGACAGTGGTGCACAGCACATGGGTGAATGCCTAGGTCTCTCTAGGTATCATGAACAAATCTATAATTATCTACTTGGGAGGATTTTAAAATTAATCCCCTAGAATCATCTTAAGGTGGTTTTAATATTTTAAGCCTTTAAAATTGTTTAAAATGTAAGTAAATGAAAATGTATCCCATCTTGCAACTTCGCACTCTGCTGTGTCANCATCTTAAGGTGGTTTTAATATTTTAAGCCTTTAAAATTGTTTAAAATGTAAGTAAATGAAAATGTATCCCATATTGCAACTTTGCACTCTGCTGTGTCGGTAATCCCAGGCACACAATAGACCTGAGACAGAAAAACAAAGCTGACCAACGTGTTAGTGAACTATCTGAGGGGAACTCAAATTAAGCCCATAATTTCCTGCTGAATTATCTGAGACAAACCAGAGTCCTTTGGTATGGAAAATAATTATCCTAGAATTTGAAATTAATCTTAATAATGTCAGTAACAGAAGTACATGGGATTGGTAACTGATGAAAAAATATGATGTATTTGAAAACATTAAGGAAGTATGGTTTTCTTATTTAACCACAAAAATTGGAGGTATCACATAGAAAACAACTAGGAGAGAGGTGCCGCCAAATACTAGCTTTTCAAAGCAACACTCACTCCTAAACTAAGAAGTATTGTTTTGATGTGAGTCCTGGAGAACAGAACTAGACAGTCAGTGGCTTTGATTATGGTGTTTACAGCGCACATGGTCAGGCAGTGGGGTTTTGTAGCCTCTAAGGAGTCGTTGAAGGAATCAACTGTTTTCCAGTATTTTGTTTTAGAAAGACATTCTAAAAGGTTCCTTGTCTCCAGAATAATTGTATTACATTTGGCAGAGAATCATATATTTTCAAGAAGATTTGTTCATGTAAAAAGACCTTTATTTTACAGTTGGTGACACACAAGTACTCCTATTACATTTCTGCAGTAGTTTGCTGTGAATATTTTGGAAAACTCTGGTACAATTGCTATATGATGTCTTCTACTTTAGAAGATATTTGAGTGTCTTCAGATGACCTGCACCCTAATTTACTTTTAAATTAAAAAATGAACCTAGCATTGATTGACCATTCTCTGGACACCCAGAAAACGAAATGGAATTGGTGAAACTGATAGGTGTAGGTACCTGTCACCACCACAAAATGACCACGTGCAGCATTGTTAGAAGGGGAAGCTGTGTTCCAAAGGACTTGCCGTTGTTGTTTCAATGTTTTAACTAACCTTGTTGTCAGTTAGTTAAATTCGTTGTCGGTTAATTTCTCAGTGTTCGCCGCCGTAGGAGATGTGGTGCCTAACCCTGACTTTCGTTTCCTCTTTATTCCAGAAGCCTCCCCAGCTTTCCGAGGATGATATCCGGCTAACAAGCGAGAGAGACAGCTGTAGTGCCAACCCCCTGGATCCTGCGATCAGCTCTCTTCCCCCAGATCACAAAAACATGGAAATTGAGGTCTCCGTGGCAGAATGTAAAAGCGTTGCCGGGATCACCTCGACTCCACATTCCATGGACCACCCCTCCCCTTTCTACTCGCCCCCGCACAACGGCCTCCTCGCTGATCACCACGAGTCTCTGGATAATGATGTAGCCAGTGAGATCCGATACCTCGACGAGGTGCTGGAGGCCAACTGCTGCGACTCAGCTGTGGACGGAGCTTACAACGGCACGTCCTCTCCGGAGCCTGGCGCGGCCACCCTGGCGGACGGCCCGCGGCCACCTGCCCACGCGGCCGGCCAGCCAGAGCCCGCTGAGCGAGCGGCCGGCAGGCAGACGCCCCCTCGGATTGAGCTCAGGAAAAGCAACTCTGACCCCATGGCGGAGGCCGAAAGGGCAAACGGCCACTCCCCTGAGCAGCCCAGGGACCTGCTGGGGGACGGCCTGCAGGCCCCCGTGAGCCCCAGCTCCTCCACCAGCTCGTGGTGCTCGTCCCGCGACGGGGAGTTCACCCTCACCACGCTCAAGAAGGAGGCCAAGTTTGAGCTGCGTGCCTTCCACGAGGACAAGAAGCCCTCCAAGCTCTTCGAGGACGACCAGAGCGAGAAGGAACAGTACTGTGTCCGCAAAGTGAGGCCTGCGGAGGAGATGCTGGAGCTGGAAAAGGAAAGGCGAGAGCTCATCCGGAGTCAGGCCATGAAGAAGAATCCCGGCATTGCGGCCAAATGGTGGAACCCTCCCCAGGAGAAAACCATCGAGGAGCAGCTGGACGAGGAACATCTGGAGTCGCACAAAAAGTACAAGGAGCGCAAGGAGAGGAGGGCGCAGCAGGAGCAGCTGCTGATGCAGCAACAGCAGCAGCAGCCCCCTCCGCAGCTCTCCACAGCCCCCGCCTCCCCTCGGGAACCTTCTGGCATGACTGCAAAGACCAAGGAGGACATCGTCACAGAGCAGATCGATTTCTCTGCTGCTCGCAAACAGTTCCAGCTCATGGAGAATTCCAGGCAAACGGTGGCCAAGGGCCAGAGTTCACCCAGGCTCTTCTCCATCAAGCCTTTCTACAGGCCACTGGGTTCAATCAACTCAGACAAGCCACTGACCATCTTGAGACCAGCTTCCCTCAGGGGTCCTCCAGAAGATAGTGGCACATCGGCAGCCAAGGGGCAGAGAGCCCACTGTGTCCCCGAGAGCCAGTCTCCGGGAGGAGGCCAGGGCAGCGCAGCTCCTCAGGGCAGGGAAGGGCCCTACAGTGAGCCCTCCAAACGCGGGCCCTTATCCAAACTGTGGGCAGAAGATGGAGAATTCACAAGTGCCCGGGCCGTCCTCACCGTGGTCAAGGATGACGACCCTGGGATTTTGGATCAGTTTGCAAGGTCCGTCAATGTCTCTTTGACCCAAGAAGAGCTTGACTCTGGTTTGGATGAACTGTCAGTGAGGTCCCAGGATACCACCGTCCTGGAGACCCTGTCCAATGATTTCAGCATGGACAACATCAGTGACAGCGGGGCCTCCAATGAGACAGCCAATGCCCTCCAGGAAAATTCACTGGCCGATTTTTCTCTGCCCCAGACTCCCCAAACTGACAACCCTTCCGAAGGCCGAGGAGAAGGCATCTCCAAGTCATTTAGCGATCACGGTTTCTACTCGCCTACATCCACGCTGGGAGACTCCCCGTCGGTTGATGACCCCTTGGAATACCAGGCTGGTCTCCTGGTGCAAAATGCCATTCAACAAGCCATAGCCGAGCGAGTAGATAGAGCTGTGTCTGGAACCAACAAGGGTGGGTCAGCACAGCAGGGACCCAAAGCAACTCTAGAGGAAGCTGGGACTGGGGCCCGCAGCTCAGAGAAGCCTCAGAGCACATTTGAGCCACCTCAGGTGTCCTCTCCTGTTCAAGAGAAAAGGGATGTATTACCAAAGATCCTGCCTGCTGAAGACAGGGTGCTCAGGGAACGGGGACCCTCCCCCCCACTGCCAGCAGTGCAGCCCAGTGGCCCAATAAACATGGAGGAGACCAGACCCGAAGGGGGCTATTTCAGCAAGTACTCAGAGGCAGCTGAGCTGAGAAGCACAGCCTCGCTCCTGGCCACTCAAGAGTCCGACGTGATGGTCGGGCCCTTCAAGCTGAGGTCAAGGAAGCAGCGGACTTTGTCCATGATCGAAGAAGAGATCCGAGCAGCCCAGGAAAGGGAAGAGGAGCTGAAGAGGCAGAGACGAGTCATGCAGAGCACCCCGAGTTCCAGGGCCAAGAACGCCTTATCGCTGCCTTCCCGAACCTCGTGCTACAAAACCGCGCCAGGTAAGTGAAGTGCTGCGGCCCAGAGGCTGCTATCGGTTGATTTCAGCGTATAGGTTTCTCTGTGGAGCCTCCTCTGTGTGGCTGGAATAAGTGTCCAAGGTACACTAGCATGAGGACTTCAGCACTTGGGACATGCAACGGGAGTGTCAGAGCGCCCTCTGGAGGAGCCCCGAGCCGGGGTGGTGGTAGCCGTTTCCCAGAGGAATGCAATGCAATAGCTCCCTTCTGGTGGTTCTGCTCTGGTCTTGGTTTAGTGCAGAGGATTGTTCTCTTTTATTTGAAGGGGCTGCTTCTTGGTGGAGGGAGGGGCTGTGTGGGGTCCATGTGGCCTGTTAGGGTCAGCAGCTCGACCCTTAGTGTCCGTAGTTAAATCAACCCATCTGATTTGTGGGATGTGCTCTACTAACACCTTCTGATTCGAGGTCCCTTCCCAACTATGACAGTCATGACTTGGTGTTGCAGATTGACCCACAGAAGACGCTTTTGTCTCTCTTCTATACGATTGGGTTTGCTTTCAGTCCTCACAAAGCCCATTACTTTGGAATTAGGGGTGGTCTCATCTATTCATGTCCTATGACCCATTTAGAGAAGTTGAGTTGCTATACAAAAAGGCAGGCCTTTCATCCCCTCTCATTGCCTGGGAAGTCCCTCTCTTGACTACTTTGTATAGATGGTTGATGCAAATGATAGTGGTAATTATTATTGCTACCATTATGGGTAACAGTGTGACCAGTAGTTTTTATTTCCCATTTGGATATGATGGCAATCGGAGGCCCACACATCCTACCGCAGAGAGATGCTGCTGAAAGTGTGGCCTAAGCTAGTCCATGAGGTGTTTGTTATGGGACGGTGCTCACATAAACACAGACAATGGGAGTAAGCTTTTGAAAACTCTTGTAGAGATTTGATATTGTCCTCAAATCCAAGGGTGGGACTTGTGGTTTTATATTGGTCCACAATAGATTTGGGGTGGGGGAAACCTGTTTCTTCACCAGAGATCATTTAAAAGTATTACCCTAATATATAATTGTTAGCATTTAAATTGGTCCTTCCAAATCTTAATCCCATCTTGACATAGTTTCCATCGAATCTACAATGACGCAAGGGAACTCTTTCTTTTATTAATTTTTAAATTTTGCAACAATCTCAACCTAAAGAAAAGTTCCCAAGTTTAAATATCTTTATTTATTCTGAACCATCTGCAAAAATTCTATGAATTCTCCCCAACCATACCCCAGGTATTGAAAAGAGATCTGTTTTTGCTTTTAACTTCTCTGTTTTTCAAAGATGGAGGGTGATAGGGTTTTTATTTTTAAAAGGATATAGCCATTTTCACAGACCAATTATTAGAAAAAATTCTCTGGAAGTTTTATCTTGTTGGTTCTTATGTGCTTTTTAAAGGAAGGGGTTCTATGTAAAGAGGGTTTATGTTACGTTTGTTCATCAGAGGTAAAAAAGGCAGTTCCCTGCCCTTTGGGGACTTAGAGTTCAGCAGGAAAAACAACCTCAATCAAAAGTGGTAATTTCATGACAGAGAAGCAAGGAGACCTGTGGGAGCACAGAACAGGGAAGACCGCCTCCTTGGGGGATAAGGGAAGTCTTCCTTTCTTGGGACACTGCCATCTCAGCTTTGAACTGAGGGAGAAGGGAGGGTCAGGGGGTGGAGGAAATTGTTCCAGAACAATGGCTATAGGAAAAGCACCTACAGAGGCCCAAAAGGAACAGAGAATGTGGCACATTTGAGGTGTTTCCATAAGGTCTGGGTGGGTTAAAGGAAGAGATTTAAAACCAACCAAAGTTGATCGGAGCCAGACAACCTTTAGGTTTTAGATTTTAGACTTTATCTCATGGTCAGTGGGAAACCAATGAGGATTTTTCAAAGGGGTAATTGCCTCCACACATCTCCACGCTGTCCTGCCTTCACCCACGAGTCAATGGACTGAAAGCCTTCCTGCTTTAGTGAGTCCATCCCACCAGCTTCTATGAGCTCTGCATGAGCACTCCTGAGGCGTGCCGCCCACGTGACGGATGACGTGTGTTTTACGTGAGAGGCCACACTCCCGAGCACGAACACACGCGCCTTCCGTGGCCGGTACTTAGAAGCAGAGGTAACAAAAGTGCTCCAGCGGCGTACAAGCCTGACTTGAAGGTGTAACCTACCCACTGCTGCAAAACACCTTGAGGGGCGTGGGCTGGAGAGGACCACCCAAACATTGCACTGAAGTTAACGATTTAGACCTTTTCAAGTGAAGGGTGTCAACAGGCAGTTCTCATTTCAGTGCCTAAGGTCTATTATTAGGTATCCTGGTTTCACTTCCAACTTCTAGGCATGACAGAGGAACCCAGGTAGCTAGATGGCTAGTTTAGTTTTTTGAAATAGTTTCTGTTTTCGTGCCAGGTGTTGAATTGATCTATCAAGTCAGATAAGTTGCCCGGTGGGACATTGTGGATGGAGAGTGCAGAAGGTGTGGATACTGGGTCCCATAACTTAGAGTGTCTGTTCATGTCTTTTAATATGTGGAAAGATGTAATAGTTACATATATTATGAAAATAGAATTTCCAAGAAGTTTCAACTTTTGTTATCAATTTGAACTATGGTGCTCATGTGATGATCAATACATTATTATAAAGATTATTGACTGGGTCTTTTTTCTTCCCCCCTCATTATCTTCAAATATCAAAGCCCTAGACAGAAAAAAAACAAAAAAAAGTTGATGTCAGCACAATATTTATGAAGCAGAGCTTGGTGACTCATTCCATGGGTAATGTCCTACTGAGGCTTATGTCTACTACCATACTTCCTGGACATTCTCTGGTGACATGAGCCTAGTCATGGTGGCTACGACTTACCAAGACCTTAAAGCTGTGACCTATGCTAGTTATTTCACATTTTCTCATTTAATTGTACAACAGGCCTCTAAGATGTAGAGCAAATTACCCAAACCCTTGAGGCCAGATATTCAGAATTTTTCTGATTTTAGAAAAGCCATAAAGTATATATACTATTATTTAGAAAAATCAATGTATTGCATATACTATTAAATAACACACTCAGGTGGTGTCTAGGGCAGCAACCTGTATGAAATTAGATTTCTGCTGTAAGACTTAAAAAGAGTTAGTTACATTAAGTGGGATAAATAAAGACTAAGAAGAGCCTTAGGCCAAATAAGTTGACAGAACTTGATTTTCAGAACCTTTTCTGGATTTTGGGATTGTGCATGAAGGGTCCTGGACCTGTAATAGTATTTCCTTTTTGAAGAATTAATACCAGAGCCCAGAAAGATTAAGTAACTTGCCTGAGGTCACCCAGCTAGGAGGTGGCAGAGCCAAGTTCATTTGACTCCAAAGTCTATATTTTTTCTACACCTTTTCTTGCCCTCTGCTGGACCTGCCCCATGCCCTTGAGGTCTATGAGGTGTGTAGTTACAGCTCCCCTTTCCCACCTACAATGATTGAGCTCAGTTCCCCTCTGCCTTTTCCATCCTCAGGCCTGACCCCTGCATTTTCCTTCCTGCCCCTCATTTTTAGAGCGACTGTAGTGCTGGAATCTTCTGCTCACAGTGGCCAAAGTGGATGAGTTTGCTCCACGAGGCCATGAGACAGTGGTACCCCAGTGACCCAGAATGGTTCCTTTGTTCTTTTAAAACTTAATTCCAATGCTCCAAATCACAATAGGCCAAATTGCTGGTGCAGCCCAAAGATCTGAGTGATGGTGAAGGGATTGGCGTAGCCCATGTCAGCCATCCGGCCTGGTTGCCCTGAGTTCTCTTTGAGCTTTCTCCCAGGAGGAAGCTCAGTCATCTACTCCACACAGGCTCATTCCCTGAAATCTTTGAAAGCACTGGTTACTCAAGCGAGGACTCAATTCTTAATTTGAGGATGAGCAGGGATAAGTGCTGGTTCCATTAAATCAATGTGTTGAGCCTGGGGCCAAGGTCACCTTAGTTAGTTTACTGGTGGTCATTGAGCACCATGACCGCTCTCTGCTGTTCTCTTTGGTCCTTTGAGGTTGATCCTTCTGCCTCAGACCAGAACCTCCCTGAATTTTATTTATCTGAGCCCCCCAAATATGTTCGTTTTTTAAGATGCCATTTGAGAAGGAATTGGTAAGAAAAGGCTAGGCTGAAGCAGTGTTTGGCAAGGATGAAGGCATGTCATGAATCAGGACTTCTCCAATTACAGAATTCAAAGTTTTTCTTGGACATTCCATTCAGTGGTTTGAAAAGGGCAATGGCCGCTGTTAAAGCTGCCATCCTCACTCCTGAGAAGATATAGACTCCTGTCCTTTCTTCCATGACAAGACTAAGGTCATGGCTTCTGGGAAATAGAACTTTGGAAAATGCACATTTCTCACTAGTCTAATTCCCTTCTGTAAGCAGGTCCTGTTGTCACTGCTAATTGTACTGGGTCTTCTGATATATCCAATGTGTCTGGGTTGGCTCCCAGTGGAACTCATACCTTGCTGGGGACACCACATGGTGTCCTTGTTGTTTGCCTTTTACCCCACATGACCAGTCTATGCTCCAGGTTAAGAGAGTGGCTTCTGAAAAATCAGACTTAACCACATGCAAAGAGAGATGCAGTCTTGAGCTGAGAAAGAAAAGATGAATCCAAGGACCTAATTCTTGCAAGATCCCTGCTTTATGCCTGGTAAGAAATGTGAGCTAATCAAAGCCAGGCCTGGGAACAGGATGTGACTGCTGGAGTTCAGGGCAGGATATGACTGTGTCTCTTACTAGCCGTAGTGACTTGCTGTGTGCTTCCCTAAGGAGACTGGCATTTCAGATCCATTTGATCTTTGTGAATAAGCCGCTGCTTAAGGGGTGGAGGAACCAAGGGTGGTGGAGTGGAGAATGTTCAGGACGCTGTTAGATCCCCAAAGGATACATTTATATTTCATGTAATGTATGTTATTTCTCATGAGCTTGACTGTGAACATCAGAGGTTTCCCAAAATATGTATGCATCTGACATCATAGCTATTTCCCCATTACTCAAAT